AAGAGCAATGCGAAAGAAGGTCACTGCGAAACCAGACAGATGTCTCCAGGAAGGCGAATGCCTGCCAACGCGCCGCTTGCAATTGTAAATCACACTGGCCTGTGGCAAACCCCAGCGGCAACGCCCAGGCGCCAACAATAACACCTAGACGCCCGGTGAAGTCATTGACGCGTTGCTCAAATCCTCACGAGCCAATCCATGAACAACCGCAAGGCGAGTCGCCCAGATCAAGGCCGGGTAATCGGGCAAGCGGCGAAAATAGCGAGCCGCATCCGCATTCGCGGATGATGAGGTGCAGGAAGCGGAGCAAAGGAGAGGAGGGCGGAAATGGACATCATAACGAACACGGTGGAGAGAGGGAGTATGGTGATAGGAAAGACTGGAAACGCGCAAGAGCACGAGCAGGTAGGAACACGGAAGAGGAGCTTGGGGGAGGTAGGAAGAAGCACAAGAAGCCTGAGGGAGGCAAAAGGCGCACCAGTGATCCGTGCGGAACGCGCGTGCGCCGCGCGCCCTCACCAGCGAGGGTGTAGGAAGAGGTGGGGGGATCAAGGAGCAGGAGGAAGTAGGGGGAAATAGGAGGGGCAAGAACATGCAGAAGAAAACATTTGCAGACTCGAATCCCAAGAAAGTTGCGCTAAGCATGACAGCGAAGTGAAGCAACGTGCAGCGCAAGGAAAAAAACGAGGACAACCGTTACATTAGGGAAAAGAAAAGGGCGCAGGAGTAATTAATCGGAAGATGCACAGGAACGGGGAGGGAGCAGAAAAAAGGAGGAGGTCACAGAAGAGGGACGAGGAGGAGGAGGAGGACAAGGAAGGGACAGATAAAGGATAGAGAGGAAAAAAACACGCTGACGACGACGGGCATCAATCATCGAGGATCTCGAGTCGTTCGCTTTAGGTGCCTGCGGGACGCCCCATCAGCGTCGTCATATCAGTGCCGCCGCGGCGCTCTCTTAGGGCAATTCTGGCTGCCTTTGGCGGCTGTCTTGGAGCCCCATGGGGCCCTCTTCGGGTCGTTTCGGGGATTTCCTGGGTCCCTCTTGGAAGCCTTGGGGGTCCTCCTGGGGCCATCTTGAAACCGTCGGTCAAAGAAGTGGGGCCCTAGCAACGCCCCATTCCTTCTCGAGCCCCCCAGTCGCCAAATGCGGCCCTCTTGCGACGCCCTTGAAGCGTTTTGGGCCCAACTTTGGTGCTCTTGGAGCCGACTTGAGCCCTGATGGCCCCCTCTCAAAGCAAGTTCAAACCAACTCGCAGCCATCTCGAGGCCTCTAGAAACTACGGAAAGCAAAAAGGCGAGAAGGAACACATTGAAACGCACAGTGATTGTAAAGGAGTTGAACCTGTTGGAGGCCTCCCTCAAGAGCTCGAAAGACAATTGTGGGCTGTCACGAAGCGGTCTTGAGGGGGCTTGGGGGCGCATTGGAAGCAAAATTGTACCATCTGCAAGTATCTGGAGCGATCTCGGAATCCTTCTTGGGTTGCCTGCGGTTCCTTTGGAGCCATCCTCGGCCATTTCGGGCACTCCACCGCCCCGCGGTCACTCTCTGTCCACGTCCCTGCCAGGGGGGGGCGGGGGGGGGGCCGTCCCTGCCAGGGAGAAACGCGCGGATAAGCTAGCCCGTTAAACCGCCACCCGCGCTCTGCATGGCTGGTGGGATTTTTCCACGGCCGCCTGGGAATGCTATCCCGGATTCTCGAGTGAATTCTGCCCGGATTTTTCCAAATCCAAATGTGAATTTGCCCCGGAAGCCGCGTGAATTTTTCCGGGTGCCCTCCGGATTTTTCCGCGCGTGTTTTTTCGATGCGCGCGCCCAAGGAAAAATCCACCAAGAATTCGGAGAGGTATTCAAAACGAGTTTTTGTTTTTCTCCCCGAAGTTTTCACTAGGCCGCGCGCGGAGCCTGGAAGGAGGGCGGAGGGGGTGGGAGAAGTCGCAGGGAGTGGAGGGGCACGCCACAGGAGAGGGCCGGAGGGAGACAGGAATCCCTGCATCCCTTTAAGCGTGAGCGGCGTGACGAAGTAATTCATCCAAGCCCACTCTTCCCCTTCATAGACACGGTTCCCCGCCCAATCCTTCCTGCGCGGGAAGGTAGCCGCGGGTCGTTGGAGCGCCCAATACGACCCAAAATGTATCCGAGATGGCTGCAAGGAGCCCAGATACGCCTCCAATATCGCTCAATGCATCCCAGGACGATTCCGAAGAGCCTCCAACGTGCCTCTGAGTCGTCAAGACCGCTTCAAGACGGCCCCGCGTGCCCTTCGAGCTCTCCAAGGAGGCCTCCAAGACAAAAAAAGTGAACACCATTGCGTGCTATGCGTTATGTCTCGCCGCCTTTTCGTTTTCCATGGGCTCTTGAGGCCTCGAGATGGCCGCGCTGGCCTGAGATGGCCCTCCAGAAGAACCCGACAGGCCCCAAGACGGCGCCGAGAGCGCTCAAGAGCAGCCGAAGAACGTCCCAAGAGAGCGCCGAGAGGCGACGTGGGCGGCTCCAGAGAGGGGACGCTGCGAGGACCCTCCCCCCGTACTCTTTGACTGACGGCGTTTCCAAGATGGCCCCGAGAGGGCCCCCAAGGCCTCCAAGACGGGCCCACGAGACCCCGAAGAGGATCTCAAGGAGGCCCGAAACAGCCTCAAGAGGACCCCGTGGGCTCTCCCAAAATGGCTCCAAATTAGCTCCACAATGGCCCACAAATCACTCCAAGGGGCTTCTAACAAGAGCCGTGTGCGAAAAACAAACAAAATCCTCCATGATTGATTCTGGCCGTCGTCGTGACTTGTTCTCTCCCATCCTTCCTTTTCCTACTCCTCGTCCTCATCCCGCCCCTCCTCCGTTTCCTCGTCATCCTCCTCCTTGTCCTCCTTCTCCGCTGCTGTTAATCCTCCGATTCCTCCTGCGCCGTCCTCGCGTTTCTAACGTAAACAGCGTCGCCCTCTTGGTTGAGCACCATGCTGGCACACGTTTCTGATGAACACAATTTGCCTGGGCACCGTCTCTGGAACTGCTTCGTCCTGAGCGTTCTTACCCCCATGTCCTCCTACCTCCCCCATGCTCCCCCCACCTCCCCATCTGGCACATTCCTACATCCTCGTTTACGAAAGGATGCGGCGCACTGGTGTTCTGCGCGGATCACCAATGCGGTTGCTGCCTCCCCCTGGCTCCTCGTAACCCTCCTCCCCCCCTCAGGTCCCTCATCGTCCTTCCGACCTTCTGATGCTCTAGCATGTTGCTGTTTCCTCCAGCGCGCGTCCATCCTTCTGCTGTTCCTCTTCTTTCGTTACTACTGGTCCTTCGCCACCATATTTGTTCCGTCGCTTCCTCCACCTCCTCTTCCTCCTCCCGCACAGAACCAGTGAAAACGCATTCGGTTCGCTGCGGCGCCGCATGCTGCTACACATGCTGATCGAGGCAACTCGCCTGGCGATTGCTTTTGCCTTGGCTGGCGGAAACACGCGAGGCGTCGGAAATGAATGCAAAAAGGCGGATGAACAGTAGAATCCCGCGGACCACTGCCGAAACGCGTCAGAACATATGCGAGGGAACAGGTCTGCAAGTTGTTTTGGACCCCTACAAAGCCTGTCTTGGGACCCTAGGGCCTGCTTGCAATCCTTCTCGGGACCTGCTGGTTTGTGGTTCTGTCTGCAGTTGGACTGCGGGCGGAACGCGGGCGCCGCTTATGCAGCATTCCATTGTTCGTTTTCCTCTGAGGGCATCCGCAGTGGATTTTGTGCGCGTTTGTTTTTTGTTGATCAGATCAGTTCAATAAGATCTGTCGTTGTTCGGCACGAGACCACTAAAATGAAATTTGAAAAGGAAAAAATATCCACGCGTCCCATCATAGCCCTTGGCGAAGCCAATGGCTCGGCTCTGGCGCGGCGCCTCCGCGAGCACGGCGCCGCCCCTGCCGCCTGCGGCCGCCGCCAAGTGCCTCGCGCTGCCAGCGGGTGCGCGTGGGCTGCTGGAGGGCGGTAACTGATGGCTGGGCGTGCGCTGGAGAGCGGCCGCCGCTTCTGGGCGCTCTTTGATCGCGATGAGGCGGTCTTGCACGAGCGGCTGGTCTTGCGGGCCACGCCTGGGCGGCACGTCATCGTCACGCCCGACGGCCACACGTACGAGGAGCTATTCACCGACTACGAGGACATGCTGGAGAGCGGCGTCGCTGGAGGTGTGCCGAACCGCCTCTCAGGCAACAAGGCGCTGCGCTACGCCTTCCGCCGTGGCGACATGGCGCGCGATAGCGCCTTTCGGCGCCGCGCTGAGGCGCAGCTGGCGGCGCTGCTGGCGGAGGTCGCGCCTGCTGGTATGGGTGCTGGCGGCTTGGACGATCCTCTTCCGCTTCCTGATGGGCCTCCTGGTGCTGGCCCTCGCGCCGCGCGTGCCGTCGAGGGCGACCCCGACTACTACGCGTCGGGTACTCTGGCTGGGCAGTGCCTCGTGGTGGGCTCACGCTGGTTCGCTGGTGAGTCGGAGGGCCCCTTCAGGCGCGGAGAGGCGGCCGCGGTGGCGGCGGGCGACGTCGCGTTCGGGGCCGGTGGCCAGGCGCTGCTGCAGCGCGATGGGATCTGGCTCCGTCTCTGCCGTGATCCGCCCACGCCGCCGCCCCGTGACGCCGCGCCGCTGGTGGAGGACGACATCAGGACGCTGCCAGTGGCCTTCAACCCTCGTGGCGATCGCACTCGTGGCTTCGACTCCGCTCGGAGCTTGCTGCGCGAGGAGCCGCTGGACGACGCCTGGCCCATCGAGGGCCCCCGCGCGGTGCGCTGGCTGGTGGAGGCCTTCGCCAGCAGCGGGATGCCGCCGGTGCCTCGCCACCATTGGTGGCGCCAGGCGCTCGGCGCCACCAACTCGGACCCAGGGGTCGACGAGCACCTCTTCCTCTCGGAGACGCTGCAGCAGTCGCTGCAGTACGACCAGCTCAACATCTGCAACCTGGCCTGCTTCGAGGGCTTGGCGCGCCGCTACCAGCTCTGGGAAGAACGGTATGCAGAGCGCATCCGAGCTTCTACCGAGGGCGCTGTGGCCGCGGGCGGGCCTCGCGGCGGAGCGCCGCCTGTTCCTCGGAGGAGGCCGCGCCAAAGGCTACGCGCTGGTGTCGCCCGAGCTCGAGCGCTGGGTCGCCAAGCGCATGGAGGAGGAGGCGGCGGTGCTCAAGGAGCGCCGCAAGGGGCGGGAGGAGAGGGCTCTCGCGGCTGCAGCGCCCACGGCCCCTCAGAGGCCGCCCCTCGACGGCGACAAGGACAATGACAAGAAGAAAAATCAGGACGGAACCACTGGCGCCGCGGGCAGCGGCGCGGGCGGGCAGGGGTGACCTGCCACCCACTCGCGCTATCCTGGAGCGGCCTCGGGGCTCCCCCGACCGAGGCTCGCTTGTATACATGGGGAGGTGGCCGAGCGCCTGCGCCGCCACTGCGCCGCCAGGTCCCGCGGCAGATCCCAGGGACTTGCTGCCGCTGCCTGCCGCGCCGCTGCTGGATCGTCGGACGCCTGGCGATTCCGCCGAGGGGTGGCTTGGCGCTGGCCTGCGAACCCTTAATGAGATGGGAGGGCGCGGCACCGCTCGGCGAGCTGGACCAGCGTCTGGCATCCACGTCGACGCGCTGAAGCGGCTCTCTATCTCCTTCGACGCCGTGCCCAGCTGCCCGTCGTACCTGACCGCCGAGGCGGCCACTCCGGCTGTCATCGGCTCCGATCCTGGTTGCGCCTTCGACGACGTCTCCAGCGGGAAGTGCGCCACCTGCCAGCGCGGGAAGGTCTCGCTCCCGCGCGTTGCTTCAGGGGTGGTCAACTTGGCAGATGCCCTGCCGCCTGAGGCTCGCTCTTTGCTGCTGGGTGAGACAGGGGCCTTGCTACTGAAGGGCTCCCCGACTTCTTCTTCCGCGTCGAGTGCGCAATTGGCCTTTTGACAGAAGGCTCGCGCGCAGTCCAGCTGCCCATGGGAGGTTTTTGGCTGACCTGTTGGAGCGTGACATGCTCGAGGTTGGCGCCGCTTCCTCTCAGGTGGCTCCCTTCTTTGTCTACAAGAAGGACAATGCCCTCATTGATCTTCGACGCGCGGGGCTCGAGCATGTCGTTCACGGACCCTGGCTACGTTCCGCTCGCGGCGGCCCAGGCGCTGGCAGCGCTGGAGGTGCCGGCGGGCGAGCGCCTGTTTGTCGCGCAGGGCGACGTCACCTGCTGCTTCTACCAGTTCTTGCTGCCAGCTCACTTGCGGGAGGCCTTCGGTTTGCCGCCAGTGCTGTGGGCTAGCCTGCCGCCGTCTGCTCGCCGGCGCGTGGGCGCTCGGCCGCCTGACGGCTTGGCGCGGCTGCGCCTGCGGGTGGTGCCAATGGGCTGGTCTTGGGCCGTTTACCTCATCCAGCAGGCCATGCAGCGCATCTTGCGCGAGAGCACGCCTTCAGATCGGTTGCTCGCCCAGTGCGTCCCACGTGCCCCCGTTCGGCCTGGCTCCAGCGCTGCCCTGATCTACATCGACAACTTCGCCGCCATCGCCACTTCGCAGGAGGAGGCCGACGCGCGTTTGGAGGGCATGCTGGCTGCTGTGGCTGCCGCGGGTGTTGACGCTGGTGCCGAGCCGACTGGCTCCCCGCTGCTGGGCTTCGAGCTGGATGGCACTGGCACCCGCTGGCGCCCCACGGCACATAAGTTTTGGCGGGTGGCGCTGGCTCTGCGCACCCTCGGCTGGGGCTCGGCTAGACGCACGGGCCGTCAGATTGCCCGCGTCGTCGGGCATGCCTCGGCTATCATGCTGCTGCGCCCTGAGATGCTGTCGGTCTTCTCGGCGGTGTGCGTCTTCGCAGATCGCTTCTTCTCGCAGCCCGCGCGTGCGTGGGTCCCGGTGCGGAGGGAGCTACGCGCTGCTTGGGCCTTGCTGCCGGTCGCCCTGGCCGACGTCAGCCTGCCGTGGTGCCCGCTCGTCTCCTCGGTCGACGCCTCCCCCCGCTGCTTCGGCGTCGCGGAGAAGAGCTGGGATGCTGCAGCTGTCGGCGATGCTGGGCGGGCCTCCGAGCGCGGCCGCTTCCGAGGAGCCCTGCGCACCAGCCGCCGCCCCCGCGACCTCGTCGATGGCGAGACGGCGGAGCCCTCCTGGAAGGACGTCGCTTGCTCCTCGGACGCGCAGCTCTGCGCTCTGGGGCTGCAGGCGTCATTCCAAGAGGTCCCCTCGGACTTTGCGCGGGGTGGCGATTGGCGCGTGGTCGCCGCCCGCCGCTGGCGCCGCCGGGGCAAGATCTTGGCGCTGGAAGCGGAGGCGGCTCTTTGGCAGGTAGGCGCTTGGCACGTTCACGCGGGAGCGCAGAGCAACGGCATCTTGCCTTGTCAGATTCGATGGCATGGGTTCTAACATCTTGCAAGGGTCGAAGTTCAGCTTGGTACCTGCTTCGAAGGTGCCGTGAGTTTTGTGCAATGCCATGGTCTTTGGGAGCGAAAGTGGCCTTCCGTTGGATCCCGTCCGAGTGGAACTCAGCAGATGAGCCCAGCAGGAGGTATGACCCTTCTTCGTCACACCGTGGTCGTCACTTTCATCGTCTTCTTGATGTCGGCACTGGAGAGGGTTTTCATTAATGTCAGTCTCTGGTTATAGATTCGTTACGCCCTACATCGACTACACCTCATCATTCACATCATCCTGAGCAAGGGCCTATTCATCACAGTTCACCTCAGTTGCACGAGTATGACACACCTGGCAGCACAAACATGTACGACACCAATCTTGAGGCACGGCCTGATTCTCGTCATCTATCGGGCGTTGCTCCTCTGTTGCCACGTGGGCTCGAGAATGCCTACGACGGCCGCCTTGGCGCCCTGGGTGCCCGCGGGCTGCGCGAGATCGCGCTCGCCGAGGCGCGCCTGCACGGGCCCGCTGGCGCCGGCGGCCTTCGGGGGCAGCTCGCGGCTGGCCGCGCCAAGGCCCGCCACTTCGCTGCCCCCTTCGCCGCAGGGCTGCCTGGGGTTGGCGAGCCCAGCGGAAGCGACGCTGGCGCCGAGGCAGAGGACGGCAGCTCAGTCAGCGAGTCTGCCGCCGAGGGCTGTGCGGGCCCCTGCCGCAGCCCAGTCCCGTCAGGCTCGTCCGACGGCGCGAGAGGTCAGGGCGCTGCGCCCCAGCCAGAGGCTGCCGCCGCCGCTGGAGCCCGCGGGCGGGGGCGCCGAGGTGGCCGCGGACGCGGGGGGCTCGCCGCCGCGGCCGCTGCCGCCGAGCCAGCCTGCGCCTTTGGTGGGCCGAGCGCTAGTGCCGCATCGCGGGGGGGGCGGGGGCAGGCCGCAGGGCGAGGCGCGCGCTGGCGCGTCGGCGACCTGGAGCGGCCCTCAACGAGGCCGTCAACAGCGGGGTGGAGGCTCAGCGCATGGGCTTCAACATCAGCTCCCTGGCGGCGGCCGCGGTGACGCCGGCGACGCAGCAGAACTACCTGCGAGCGCTGCGGCGACTCCTGGCTTGGCTGCGCCTTCGGCGCGCGCCGCTGCTGGGGGCGGCCGACTGGGACTTGACGCTGGAGCAGTGCATCGAGTTCCTCCACGATCGCGGGCTGCCAGAGGGAGACGCGACGAGCACGTTAGCTGCTGTGCGCTGAGCGCTGCCACATCTGCCCAGGCCCCTCAGGCGCGGGCTGCCGCTGGCGACGGCGGCGGTCGCAGGCTGGCGACGGCGGGAGAAGCCCTTGTCGCGGCCGCCGGCGCCCAGGATGGTCGTGGTGCTGATGGCGGGTTGGCTTTGCCACGACGGACAGGAGGACACTGCGCTCTTCCTGCTGCTCACCTTCGAAACGTACATGCGGCCAAGCGAGGGGCTCGACCTTGTCGGCCTGCAGTTGGCGCCGCCTGTCCCAGGCGAGACGGGGGTCTGCCAGTATTGGTCTCTGCTGGTCCGAGCGAGCGAGCTTGACGTGCTTGGCAAGACAGGCGAGTTCGACAACAGCGTCGCGCTCGACTTGCCGCGCCACCGCTTGCTGGAGCCAGCGCTGCGGCGACTCAAGGCAGTTCGATCAGGTCGATGCCGCCTGTTTCGCTTCTCGTACGTGGACCTCCTCCTGGCCTGGAGCCGCTGCCTGACGGCGCTGGGGCTCTTGCATCTGCAGATTGCGCCCTTCTCCTTACGCCGCGGCGGGGCTTCGGAGGACAAAGCGTCTCTGTCGCGGCCTCTGCTCGAGATCCAGAAAAGAGGGGGATGGCGGTCGTTTCAGAGCGTGCGCCGTTGCGAGAAGCACGCCAGGCTGAGCGCGTTGATGCATCGCGCGCCGCTTCGTCAGCGGGACGAGGCGCGCAGGCGCGAGCCCGAGCTGCCGCCTCTCTTGCTGCCAGCTTGCGCGCGGCGCGCGCCGCCGCCGCCATGCTAAATCATCGAGTGTTTCTAGACTTGTTTGCTGGCGCGGCGCCTGTCTCCAGTTATCTTCGTAGCAAGGGCTACGGTTGCATTGCGTTTGACAAGCTTCTCGGGCCACAGTTCGATCTTAGCAGCAAGGGCGTCCAGTCTACGATTGCCGGCTGGATGCGCGCGAATCTTGTTTGGGGCATGTGGTTTGCGACGCCTTGTATCACGGCGACGAGAGCCAGAAACGGACCGATCTGGCAGTATGCCGCCGCCGCTTCGCTCGTCGTCTCAGTATCGTGGCTTGCCCTCACTGCGCGCCGAACGCCAGTCGCAGGTTCGTGAAGCCAATGCTTTAATCGATGCTGGGGGTCGCCTCCAGCAGTTGGCCTGGGATATTGGGATTTCTTGCGGTGAAGAGAACCCCCAAACATCAATTTTGTGGTGTTTTCCTTCTCGCTGTCGAGCTCTCGCTCGCGGTGCCGCCGTAGATGTTGACTTTTGTGCGGGAGGGGGGCCCGCGCGTAAACGCACAAAGCTTGTTTTCCAACATTGTGGTTCCCCCTCCGCGCCAGATCTTCGTTGCCGCGTTCGTGCTGGACTTTGCTCCTTCACAGGTCGTAAGCATGTGCGCATCAGAGGTAAGATGCACGGTAGATGGCTCTCCGGAGTTGCAGAACCATACCCGCCCGTTATTTCAAAGTTCATTGGCGATGCACTCATACATGCGGTACATCGCCGTGCGGTGGCTTCGCTCAGCTTGTTGTAACGTTCGCTCGCCAGATTACTGCATGATAATGGTGTGGTTAGGGGCTTCGAGTCTTTCGGCACGCTCGCATGTGTGTGTGCCGCTCGCATGAGGTTTTAACACGATCTCGCTCGTTGTCACCTTGCGCCGTGCCTCGACTGACAAAACGAGCTGGCTTTCGGGAGGGTCATGCGAATGTCAATGGTGATGTTGACGACCGCTGCTGCCACTGACCCCTCAAACCTGTTTCTGCCCGCCCAATGCCAGCCCTCGCCTCGGCAGAATTTTGTTGGGGCTTCGAGTCTGTCGGCACGCTCGCATGTGTGTGTGTGCCGCTCGCATGAGGTTTTAACACGATCTCGCTCGTTGTCACCCTGCGCCGTGCCTCGACTGACAAAACGAGCTGGCTTTCGGGAGGGTCATCGTCGTCGTCGTCGTCGTCGTCGTTGTCGTCGCCTTCGCCGTCGCCGTAGCCGTCGCCGTCGCCGTTGCCGTCGCCGTCACCGTCGCCGTCGCCGTCGCCGCCGCCGTCGTCGCGGTCGTCGTCGTCGTCGCCGTCGCCCCCTGCTCGCCCCCCCCCCGCCACGCCGCCCTCGCCGTCGCGTCGTCGTCGCCAGCGTCCTTGTGACGACTCAGGCCCTCTCTCCTCCTTCCCCCTGGCCCCGTGGCGCGGGCCCACATGCACGGTGCCTCGTCTGAGGGTACTGTACGTTTGTTGGTGGAGGCAAGGCGCCGGAGCGACGGCCGCCGTGGGTCCAGGGCGGGGTCCAGGGCGGGGCTGCTCCCGAGGTCCAGGTCGGGAAGCCTGTTCGTGGCCGAGGCCCGCCATGGCCAGAGTCGCTCCTTCGCTCCTCATTCGGCGTTACTCGCGCTAGCACGATGGCTGCCTAGCTTACAGCTTCCTGGACAGGCCGTGAAGACCTACACCCAGGATTTGCCTGGTCCGTACCCGTCTAGGAGGATAGTTGGCCTTCCGCAGTCGTTCTGGTCCGTGCGCCTGTCCCTCTCTCCTGATCCGTTCTCTTCGTTCACTGATGGTTCCTGGCTGCTACCTCCCCCCCCTGCCCGTTTCTTCTCAGATTATCTTCCTTGTCCTGCTCTTTCCCCTCCCTCCTTTTCTCCTTCCTTCCCCCTTGTGCCCTCCCTCCTCGGGAAAAAAGAGGGCGGAGTGAGGAGGGAACGGGAGGGAGGGAGGGAGGGAAGGAGGGAGGGAGGGAGGAAGGGAGGGAGGGAAAGAGGGAGGAAGGGAAACAGGGAGGGAGGCAAGGAGGGAGGGAGGGAGGAAGGGAGGGATGGAAAGAGGGAGGGACGGAAAGAGAGAGGGAGGGAAGGAAGGGGGAATGGAGGAGGAGGAGGAGGAGGAGGAGGAGGAGGAGGAGGAGGAGGGGGGAGGGGAAGGAGGAGGAGGAGGAGGGGAGGAGGAGGAGGAGGAGGAGGAGGAGGAGGAGGAGGAGGAGGAGGAGGAGGAGCAAGAGCAAGAGAGTTCAGGGAGGAGGGAAGAAGGAGGAGGGATGAGGGAGGAGGAGGGAGGAGGAGTGAGGGATGTGGAGATGGCCCGATGCGGACACCGCCGACCGCCGCCGCCGCCGACGACGATGATGACAACGGCGACGACGACGACCGTCGGCGAAAGGGGTGCTGGGCTGCTGGCCGAGGCCCTGGGGCGCGCGGCGCTGCCGCGGGAGCGGGCGGACGCGCTGGGCGAGGAGCTGTCGCACTATGCCCGGCGAAGCTCTCGCGTCGGCCCGCCTTGAGCCCTCAGGCTTGGCCTCCCCCCTGCTCGAAGAAGAAACAACTCCGCAAATATCAACCTGTGGCGCTCCGCGCGGAGCGCCACCAGTTTATGTTTATTTGTTTCTTCTTTTTCCAGGAGGGGCGGGCCTGCTCCGAAGGCTCGGAAGTCTCCCCCGGCCTTCCGGTGCAGAAAGGTTTCTCTCAGGAGGCGCGAGGGTTTCCGAGAAGTTTCGCCGCCTTTTGAGGATGCCTCTTTCTACCTCACTTCCCCCCTCGCTCGCCGCCGACCCGTGGACGGGGAGTTGACGGTCACGAGCGGCCGACGTGTCAGCATCCGCGCCCTCGCGGCCTGGAATCTGGAGCGCCGTGCTGCGAAACGTTGTCGCACGGACACGTCCCCTTTGGCGCATCCGCGAATAGATGCGCCTCGCATCCGCAGGGCCGCGGCCATCGGGCCTGGGCCCGCGAGGCCGCGGATACGGATACGTTCTTCGCCCCTGCGTGGAGGAGGTGCCGGAGCAGTACGCGCTCGGCCCTCGGGGAGGTCGGCCCGAGCGGCCTCCCCCTCGGCCAGCCCAAGGTGACGCTGGCCAAGGGCTCCCAGGAGGGCGCGAAGTTATTCGCGCTTCGCGCTTCGCCGTCCTCCTTCCTCCTCCCCCTCCTCCTCGTCCTCCTCTTCTCCCCCTTGGGGGGCGGCGCGAGAGCGCGAAGTTATTCGCGCTTCGCGCTTCGCGCAGCGCGAAGCGCGAACTTAGGAGCCCTTGCTGGCCGGCGCCGCCGCCCTTGCCTGGCCTGCGCCGAGGACGCGTCGGGTGCAGCAGCGCCGGCCTGCTTCGCCTCCGCCTGGCAGGAGGCGGAGGCGGGTCGGGCCGAGCGCGCCGAGGACCGAGCTCGCATTGCCCGACCCCTCCTCGTCGCCCAGGGAATGAGGACTCGGGGCCCCCGCCTCCGGGATGCATTCGAGCAGCTGCAGCCTCGCCGAGGGCGGTCGAGGGGTGCCCGGATCGCCGCGAGCGGCCGCCCGAGACCCGAGTTGCGGTCGGACCGCGGTAGAGCATCGAGGTCGGTTCGGGGAGGGTACCTTCATGTTCCTCGTGGTTGTTGGATGTTCCTGTGCATCCTGGGGGAGGGCATCCTCGAGTGTTCGTCCGTTTGGCTGGTGGAGGTCTCGTGTTCTTGGAGGATTCACCGACCGCGTTCCACCACCCGCGAAGCGCCTACTCGCAAACGTCCGAGAGTCGTATGCTCGCCTCGACGTAATAGATCGCAGATCCCCCGCGGTGGATCCAGGCCAATTGCGAGTAGATATTTTGCGAGCAGTGGAACGCGCTCGGCTAAGGATGTTCTTCTGTAGGTCTGGCCGTGCGGCCCAGAAGCCAAGCATTCGCAGAAGGGCCGGTGTGGTGAGGCGGCGGGGGCTCGGGCTGGCCGCACGGCTTTGGGACTCGGGTTGTTTTCCGACGATGCCTCGGGCGACTGGGGCCTCCAGGGTCCCAAAGCGGTGCGATGACGGACCGCGTGGTGACCTCGAAATCCGTAAGGGTTTTTCGCTTTGACAATTTCCCATTGGGAGTACTACTTTCCTCTCTCTTTCTGGATCCTGTCCGAGCGGGCCCCGTTTTCTTCCGCATGCAGTTTTTTGTTTAAGAACCGCTGATCTGATTTCAAACAGTGGTCTTAGATCTGTTCTTTTCAATCGGAACGGTTCCAGTGTGTCAAAACGGAGTTCCCGTTGCAGCGTTGGCTTCGTTTCAGGATCGACGTTTTGTTCTCGCTCTCGCCCCAGCGCGAGCCACAGTTCTTGATCGAATCTTTCATCGTGGTTGTCGCCCCGCTCCTTTGTCCTCCTCCGCCTTCCGCGGGTCCTCTTGCTCTTCCCGTTCCTCCAGCTTCTGCTGCTGTTCCTCCTCCTCGTCTTCCCCTTTCATCCTCATCCTCTTTCTCCTGCTCATCATCTTGCTCATCCGCCACCTCCCCCTCTTCCTCCTCCTCGAGAACGGGGGATTGTAGAGTCGCAGGGGTTCAAAAGCGCGCGCGCGAGGGTTTCGCGCTGAGTTCGCGACTGTTTCGGTGCAAACTCTGCTCTGTGTCGTCCTCCTCCTCCTCCTCCTCCTCCTCCTCCTCCTCCTCCTCCTCCTCCTCCTCCTCCTCCTCCTCCTCCCTCTCCCCCTCCTGCTACCTCTCTGCCTTTTTTTTCTCCAGGCGCCCCCCCCCCCAGAAAAAAAAAAAAAAAAAACTAAAAAAAAAAAAATTCGGGGGGGGGGGGGCGCCAGGAGAACAAAAAAGGAATGCGACGTGACCACATCTGCCCTCCCCCCTAGAAGGATTCCTATTGGACGCCCCCATAGGAAGGATTCACAGTAAAATCCTCGACAGAAGGGTTCCTATCGAAACCCTCCACTGAATGATTCCTACCGAAATCCTCCACATGTGGATTCCTTGATTCCTACTGAAATCCTCGAATGGCAATGGCAATGGCAATGGCAATGGCAATGGTAATGGTAATGGTACTGGTACTGGTAATGGTAATGGTAATGGTTACGGTAATGATAGTGGTAACGGGGTAGCGAGGCAATGACAATGGCAATGGCAACGGTAATGGTAATGGTAATGGCAATGGCAATGGCAATGGGAATGGCAATGACAATGGCAATGGCAATGGCAATGTAATGGCCATGGCAATGGTAATGGTAATGGTAAGGGTAGAGGTAAAGATAGAGGTAATGGTAATGGTAATGGTAATGGTAATGGTAATGGTAATGGTAATGGTAATGGTAATGGTAATGGTATTGGCAGTGGCAGTGGCAGTGGTAATGGTAATGGTAATGGTAATGGGAATGGAAGTGGGAATGGGAACGGGAACGGGAATGGAAATGATAGTGGTAGTGGTAATGGTAATGGCACTGGTAATGGTAATGGTAATGGTTATGGAAGTTGTAATAGTATTGGGAATGGGAATGAGAATGGGAATTCTAATGGTGATGGCAGCGGTAGTATCATGGTAATGGGAATGGGAGTGGAAATGGTACTGGCAATGGTAATGGTAGTGACGAATGGCAATGGCAATGGTGATGGTAATGGTAATGGTAATGACAGAGGTAATGGTAATGGTACTGGTAATGGTAACGGTAATGGTAATGGTAAGGGGGTAGCGATTGGCAATGGCAATGACAATGGCAACGGTAACGGTAATGACAATGGCAATGATATTGGCAATGGCAATGACAATGATAATGGCCATGGCAATGGCAACGGCAATGGTAAGTGTAATGATAATGGCAATGGTAATGGGAATGGGAACGGGAATGGGAATGTGAATGCGAATAGGAAGGGGAACGGGAATGGAAATGGTAGTGGTAGTGGTAACGGAAATGGGAATGATAAGGGTAAGGGTAAAGGTAAAGGTAGAGGTAAATGTAATGGTAATGGAAATGATAGTGATAATGGTAATGGTAATGGTAATGGTAATGGTAATGGTCATGAGAATGGGAATGGCAATGGAAATGGTACTGGCAATGGTAATGGTAGTGGCTAATGGCAATGGCAATGGCAATGCGAGTGGTAATGGTAATGACAGAGGTAATGGTAATGGTACTGGTAATGGTAACGGTATTGATAGTGGTAACGGGGTGGCGACTGGCAATGGCAATGACAATGACAACGGCAACGGTAATGGCAATGGCAATGGCAATGGCAATGGCAATGGGAATTGCAATGGCAATGGTAATGGCCATGGCAATGGCAATGGCAATGGTAATGGTAATGGTAATGATAATGTGAATGGGAATGGGAACGGGAATGGGAATGTGAATGGGAATGGGAATGGGAACGGGCATGGAAATGGCATTGGTAGTGGTAACGGAAATGGGAATGGTAAGGGTAAGGGTAAATGTAAAGGTAGAGGTAAAGGTAATGGTAATGGTAATGGCAATGGCAGTTGTAATGGTAATGGTAATGGTAATGGTATTGGGCATGGGAATGTGAATCGGAATGGTAATGGTACTGGCAACGGTAATGGTAGTGGCGAAGGGCAATGACAATGGCAATGGTAATGGTAATGGTAGTGGCGAATGGCAATGGTAATGGTAGTGGCGAATGGCAATGGCAATGGCAATGGTAATGGTAATGGCAATGACAGTGGTAATGATAATGGTACTGGGAATGGTAATGGTGACGATAACGGTAATGGTAATGGTTATGGCAATGGTAACGGGGTAGCGATTGGCAATGGTAATGGGAATGGCAACGGCAACGGCAATGGCAATAGCATTGGCCATGGCAATGGTCATGGTCATGGTCATGGTAATGGTAATGGTAATGGTAATGGTAATGGTAATGGTAATGGTAATGGGAATGGGAATCGTAGTGGTAATTGGAACGGGAACGGGAATGGAAATGGTATTGGTAGTGGGAAAGATAATGGCAATGGTAATGGAAATGGTAATGGTAACGGTAATGGTAATGGCAATGATGATGGGAATGGGAATTGTAATGGTGATGGCAGCGGTAATGGTAATGGTAATGGCAATTGCGTTGGTAATGCTAATGATAATGGCAATGGTAATGGTGGTGGCGAATGGTAATGGTAATGGGAATGGTAATGGTAATGGTAACGGTAATGGTAACGGGGTGGCGACTGGCAATGGCAACGGCACTGGCAATGGCAATGGCAATAATAATGGCAATTGTAATGGCAATGGTAATGGCACTGGCAATTGTAATGGCAATGGTAATGGTAATGGTAATGGTACAGGTAGAGGTAAATATAAAGGTAAAGGTAATGGTAATGGTAACGGTAATGTGAATGGGAATGGGAATTGGGATGGGAATGGTAATGGTAATGGTATTGGGAATGGGAATGGAATGGGAATGGGAGTGGGAGAGATTGAGAGAGAGAGAGAGAGAAAGGAAACGAGAAAGGAAACATCAGCATAATGATGAGGAACAAAGTGAAATATCGTAAATTTTCGTTTAAAACCAGCAGCGACTCCACAATCCCCCGGCCTCTCCTCCTCCTCCTCCTCCTCCTCCTCCTCCTCCAGTTTGCACAGCTCCCCCTCCCTCTCCTAGCCGCGCATGCACGGTGGCGTCCTTGTGAGGGTTACGGCTCCGCCGCGACAGCTGTCGGGGGATACAGGGCAGTCAGTGCTCGGGGGGGAGGATCGGTGAGAGTGGTAGTCTGCCAGTTCGTCGTCGGTCTCATCGTCGTCGTCGCTCGGTCTCGGCATGCGCTCGTCGTCGTCGCCTGCGCTCGTCGTCGGCGCCGTCGTCGTCGTCGGCGCCGTCGTCGTCGTCGGCACCGTCGTCGTCGTCGTCGTCGTCTTCGTCATCGTCGTCGTCGTCGTCGTCGTCGTCCTGGGCAGGGGGCGCCCCTGCGCGCCGGCAAAGCCCCCGGGCTCCGGTGGGGACGGCGGCCCTCTCCGGCTCCTTTGGCGACCCTACGCGCATTGACTACGGCGCGCCCCCCCCCCCCCAGCGGCCGCCGCCCATGCCAGTGCTCGGGGACCTTGAGACGGGTGTCGATGCAAGCCCGCCTGCGTTGCGAAGAGTTCACGACGGGAAGGTTTTCGCTGTTTTCGCTTTCTGGGGGCCCCTGTTGGGCCCCAGGACCGTTTAAAAATGACTCAGGATGAGAATCCGGTCCCGGGGAAGGGGTCCAGGCCTTCGGGGGTCAACGTTGCGAACAAGTTCTGACGTTGGGGGATCAATGCAAGCGGGGGTCGGCGGGCGCGAGCGTGCTTCGCGGGCGCGAGCGTGCTTCGCGGAGCGTTCTGGGCTCCAACGTATTCTTCGCGCGCCCTCCTCGCCCAGCGCCGCCGAGGCGGGTACCCAGCCACGGGTACGCTGGCAGCGCGCAGGGCGGTGGCAGGACAGGTGGCAGGAATGTGGCAGGTCGGGGGTTATGGGACCCGGGCTTGCGTTCAGGATCCTGTAGGATCCTGCGAACTTCGGCCACGCGCAGAGGGGGGTAGGTGGAGGGGGGCAGGCTTAAAAGCACCCTTGCCTCTCAGAAGCCTTCGCCTTCCCCCTACCCCCTTGTGCGCGCCGCCAGAAAGCCTGACTGACCCGGGTTCGCCTTGACCCTGGCCAGTGCGTCCCCGAAGTGCATCTTATCTCGGGAGGAGGCCACTCTGAGGAGGAGAAGGTACCGATGCTGCTGCCCTTCCCTCGTTTTCGCTTTTTGTGGCCCCATTGGAGAACCTGGCCGCCACCGCTGGATCCGCCTCGAACTTCTGGTCAGAACGCGCCCGCTGGACAGCTCTGGGGAGTAGCGGTATCGGCACCTTGTGGTTTCCTTTGGTACGTCTGAGGCTGCCTCCTGCATTCCGCCTCCGCGGCCGCCCTCGTCTCTTCCCTTGTCCCCGGTTGCGGTTGCCTCGCGTGGCCAAGCTCTGGGGCGGCCCGCCGGCTCTCCGAAGCAGGTAGATCGCCCGGGCAAGGCAGGGTGTGGGCCTCTGGAGGGAGAGGTATAACGAGTGAGGGAGAGGGAAAGGAGGGAACGGGAAGAGTAGAAGAAGGAGGAGAAGGAGGGCGGAGGAGCAGGAGGAGGAGGAGGAGGAGGAGGACGAGGAGGAGGAGGATGAGGAGGAGGAGGAGGAGGAGGAGGAGGAGGCTGAGGCGGAGGCGGAGGCGATGGCGGAGGCGGAGGCGGAGACGAAGGAGGATGAGGACGAGGAGGACGCGGAGGAGGAGGAGGAGGAGGAGGAGGATAATGAGAAGGAGGAGGAGGAGGAGGAAGAGGAGGAGTTGGAGGGAGGAGATTGAGGAGGAGGAGGAGGAGGCGGAGGAGGAGGAGGAGGAGGGAGGAGGTGGAGGAGAGGAGGAGGAAGAGGGGGAGGAGGAGCAGAGGGCGGAGGGATGGATGATGATGATGATGATGATGATGATGATGATGATGATGATGATGATGATGATGATGATGATGAGGATGAGGATGAGGATGAGGATGAGGATGAGGATGATGCTGATGATGATGATGATGACGAGGATGATGATGACGAGGATGATGATGATGATGATGATGATGATGATGATGATGATGATGATGATGATGATGATGATGATGATGATGATGGTGGAAGTGGTGGTGCTGATGATGATATGATGATGATGATGATGATGATGATGATGATGATGATGATGATGATGATGATGATGATGATGATGATGATGATGATGATGATGATGATGATGATGATGATGATGATGAGGGCAGAGGAGGAGGAGCAGGAGGAGGAGGAGGAGTAGGAGGAGGAGGAAGAGGAGGAGGAGGAGGAGGAGGAGGCTGAGGCGGAGGCGGAGGCGATGGCGGAGGCGGAGGCGGAGACGAAGGAGGATGAGGCCTTCATCTGCTCGCCCGTCAGTCACAATCAACGCGTGCACCCCGAAGCCTCGATACCCGTCTTCTTTGTTTCCGATCGTATCCCCCCTTGGGGGTGTACGTTCCTAGCCTGCGACGTGAGCTTGGCGCAAATCCTAAAAACAGGAAGAGGAGGGAAACAGGTAGCGAGGAGGGAACGAGTGCGGGAATGGAGGCAGGAGGGAAGGTCAAGGGGAACGGAAAAGGAGGGAACACAAAGGAGATTAGCAGAAGGGGTTGCGAGTAGGAAGCAAGCCGCGTACCCACACGGGCAGGTCGGGCGGGCGGAACCTATCGAGCGTGTCTGACGGGCGGGTCCAGACGGCCGGGTCTGGCTGGCCAGCCGCTGAAGCGTCAGTCCTGCATGAAATGCGAGGAAGTCTCCAGCGATAAAGTCCAGAGCGGGAGCGGGATTCCTGACTGTCGAGGGTGCGACGCCTGAATACATTGCGAGGATGTCCCACATTCGAGCGCGATTTTGAATAACTTGTGAGTCGTGAGGGAGTATCCGGCTGAAATCGTTGTTGAATTCGCATTGAAGACAAATTCTTGTTGATCCCCTCTTCGGTAACCATTGTAGGTTTTCAAGTGAAGTGCCCCCCTCGGGGCTCACACCTTGTTTTTTTAATAGGGAAAAATTGGTGTCACCAGACTGGTTGTTGGCCCCCGAACTACAACAACAACGGCTGATACGTCCTCCGAGTTTATTTCAACATCTCGCTTTTGCGGGGGACTTCCTCACATGTTCTGCAGGAGTCGCGCTCTCGTTCGGGATTTCCTCGCAATTCATTCGCACGCGGCGCCCACGACACTCAAGAATCACGCTCTCGCTTGGACCTTACTCGTGATTTACATGGGGATCGCGCTATCGCTCGAGTTCTCCTCGCGATTCATGCAGGTTTCACGCTTCGGCACCACGCTTTTCGACCTGGCCTCTTGGGCCCGCCTTCCCGACCCACCCGTTAGGGTCTACCCGCCCGATGGGTCCGTCTGGTTCTGCCATGTGTTTTTTGCTCCTCGCACCCCTCCTGCTAATTCCGTGCTCTATATTTCTCCCTCCCTTTCATCCGTCCTCTCTTCCCTTGTTTCAGGGGCTGCGCCAATTACACGCGGCAGATACGGAACGTATACCCCCAGGGCTGTACGATCGAAGTCGAAGAGGGCGGGTACCGAGGGTTTGGGGTATACGTGTTGATTGTCACGCGAGCCGGTACGAGCAAGCAGTCTTCAAATGATTGTCGTTGTTGTTGTTGTTGTTGTTGTTGTTGTTGTTGTTGTTGTTGTTAACACCAGGGGGGCAACAGCATAGCCTGAGGCCCAAGACTTTCCCTGGTAAAACCTAGAGTGCAAGCCCTGGGAGGGGCACTTCAATGGAGAACAAAAACACATATGTTGCTGCGCAGGGGGGATCAACAAACATTCATTCTCTAGAACTGAGACTTCAACAGCGACAAGCCACGCACCCAGGGCCTGTTGAAGACCGTTCGCCCCCCTCACTCTGATATTCGACGGAGGTCTGGGTGCTTGCTTCTTTCCGTCCTCTCTTGGACGAGGGTGTGACTTTCGCTTTCGGTGACCCGCCGTGAATCGAATGCGATCGACTGGGTGCCAGCGGCTGGGGGGTTAGAGCAGTTTGATGGCTTGTAGAGTGGGAGTGCCCACAGCAAGCTCAGAGCCTCGCGCCGTGATAAAAAAGCGAACTTGTTGTTGTTGCTGTTGTTGCTGCTGCTGCTGCTGTTGCTGTTGCTTCAGTTGCTGCTGATGTTGTTGTTGTTGTTGTTGTTTTTGTTGTTGATGTTGTTGTTGCTGTTGTTGTTGTTGTTGTTGAACTCTCACTACTGAAGATTAAGTAGTGTTGATCCCCCTCTTCCGGTGACCACTGTATTTTTTCACTTGAAGTGCCTTTTCTCGGAGCTCGCACCCTGTTTTTCTGAGGGGAAGTCACGGGGCTCAAACTGTGTTGTTGGCCCCAGGTTTACAGCAACAACAACAATAACAACGGCTCCCGCCTGATACTTCCTCACACTTTATTCCCAAATCGCGCTCTCGCGCTGGACTTCTTCATAATTTGAAAACGAATCGCGCTCTCGCGTGGGACTTCCTCGCAGTTGATTCAGACGATGCGTCCTCGGCGCTCAGGAATCACGCTCTCGCTTTGGCTTGTCTCACGATTTACTTGGGAATCGCGTTATCGCTCGAGAGTTCTTTGCGATTCATGCAGGACCCACGCTTCAGCAACCCGCCTGCTCGACCTGGTCGCCTGGGCCCGCCTTCCCCACCTGCCCGCTATGGGTCTGCCCACCCGATCTGCCCGTCTGGTTCTACCAATTGTTTTCTGCTCCTTGCCCCCCTCCTGCTAACCTCTCTCGTGCTCCATTCTTCTACTTCCCCCTTCCACCCGTCTTCTCCTACCTTGTTTTGGGGGCTGCACTAACTGCATGTGGCAGGTAAGGAAGATGTACCTTCATAGGGGTACGATCGAAGACGACGAGGGCGGGTACGGGTGCCGAGGGCTTGGGATATACGTATTGATTGGCACGTGAGCAGCTAGGAACGAGCAGTCTCAAAATGATTGTTGTTGTTATTGTTGCTGTTGTTGTTGTTGTTGCTCGTTTATTTTTCTCGGCCCAAGGGGGCCCTCGCCGGGCCACGGGACCGTCAATGCGACTTAGGACGGGAAACCGGTCCATGGGAATGGGTGGGTACCATCAGTTGTCCGCTTTTCTAGGCCTCCTAGATCGGGTCGGAGTAGATGGGGTCGGAGGATCGCGCCGCATCGCTGATGCATCGCCGATGCGGCTCGATGCCGCGCCCGACTTTCTCCACACCGACGTCGCCGACGCATCACTGATGGCGCCGATGCATCGCCGATGTATCGGCGATGCGGCGCGATCCTCCGACCCCATCTACTCCGACCCCATCTTAGAGGCCTCTAGCATTGTGAGTCATTCGCGACGTCGAGGATCTCGGAGCATAACTCGTTCACCTATGCCAGTAGCGTTGGGTGACGTGGGCTGCCCTCAGTGCGCCTTTGCCAGCGCAGTACATGCAATTTATTGATATAGACGCACGTCTGCGTCAACACGTATATTCTGGATCATCGATGACGGCGCAACCTTGCGCTTTGCCCACAGGGGTTGAAGCCAGGCGCACATGTGGGACCCGTGGCTCGCGGGATCTGAGGCCGCCCAACCGTGCAAGCCGATCCATCGGGCGGTCCAGGCACTGGGCACGAGGCGGCGTTCTTCGCCATTATCTTCGCGCTCGCCAAGCGCGGTGTGCTGGGGAAGGCCGAGGCGGCGGACATGGTGTTGGTGGTGTTCTCCGAGTACATGCGCGTCATGCGGCGCCTTCAGGCCCCTCGTCCCATCGCGCGGGGAAGATGCGCGGCTGCCGCCCGACAATAACCAGCACCAGCAACAGCACCAGTAATAGCAACAGCCCCCGCCAATCACTACCCACCACCCACCACGCACTGCCCACCACTCACCAGTCACTACTTAGCAGCCGTGATCAACCACACGCAACCCATCACCCACAACCTACCACTCACCAATCACAAGCCACCATCTACCATACATCCCCCACCACTCACCACTACTCATCATCATTCACCGACCATCATCTGCCACGGTCAAGGCCACCACCACGGCAACCAACCAGGATTGCCTGAAGATAACAATCACGCCCCCCAACCTCTACCACCACAACCACTTCTAGCTGCATGTTCCCCATCTCCACCTCCTGAACATAGTCTCAAGACCTACCACTGGCATCACCCCAACATACTTATACTATATGTGCGTCGCCCCCCCCCCCCCCCGGGGCGACGCGCGCACCGAGAAATCTTGCAGTATATGCGTCGTGGCGGGCGCTTCTGGCCACACCGCTCGGGAAACGATACACTACACGATGGATACACTACATGTTCGGGTCGGACGCGCGCCTCCAAGGAGGACATCTAATAGCAGTATGCCTCTGTGCGTCCCATACCACCATGAGCACCACCTTCACCACCACCTTCTGTCCACCTCTTTCCCCACCTGCTCGCCCGCTTCTGCCTCCATATCGAACTGCCCTACCAACATCCACCACCATTCGAGACCCCCCTCATCTGCCTCCGCCTCCACCTCCGCATTCACACCCCACACTGAACTCCACTTCTTCCCCTTGTCGATTGCCGCCGCCTTCTCCACATCCTTGCCAGCGCAACATTCACATGCGGACAAATTGTATACGTAAGGAAGAGCGATATGGAGAAGGAGGGACAGGATGGGGAGGAAGGAAAGAGGAACAACGAACATGATAAGGAGGAGGAGGAGGAGGAGGAGGAGGAGGAGGAGGAGGATAATAACAAGCGATCTGAGGAGGAGGAAGAGGAGGAGGAGGAGGAGGAGGAGGAGGAGAGGAGGAGAAGGAGGAGGATGAAGTGAGGAGGACACGAGGAAGGAGGGCGACGGTAAGGAGAGTAAGAAGGAGTAGCGTATTGTGAGGGCCAGGCTCACGACCCGATACTTGCGACGTCGGAGATCTGGGGATGTCTCTCATAGTATGCTGTGTGAAGTTCGAAGCTCGACTATGTGCAGACAGTTGTTTCGGCTCCTGGAGGCCGAAGCAGCGCACACAGCTTCCATGCTCGGAGCTGGAGTGCGCGCCCTGCGCTCGCTCGCGATGGGTCTAGCGTGTGTGTATCTATATATATATATATATATATATATATATACAGGTGCCTCCTCCGCCCTCTCCTCCTCCTCCTCCTCCTCCTCCTCCTCCTCCTCCTCCTCCTCTCCTCCTCCTCCTCCTCCTCTCCTCCTCCTCTCCTCTCCTCCTCTCCCTCCTCCTCCTCCTCCCTCTCTCCTCCTCCTCTCCTCTCCTCCTCCTCCTCCTCCTCCTCCTCCTCCTGTCCTCCTCTTCCTCCTCCTCCTCCTCCTCCTCTTGCCCACCTACTCCTGCTTATCTCTCCTCGGCCGCCGGGCGCCCTGTTCGTGTGGCAGAAGGAGTGTCTGCCTCCCCCCCCCCCCCCCCCTGAGCGCTACCGCCCCTGTGGCAGAAGACCCTGGCGGGCCTCACACAGTCACGGCTGGGGCCACGATGGGGGGGATCATGATGTGGGGCCACGACGGGAGGATGTCGGGATTTGGACAAGGATAGTTGTAGGGGCAGGGGTACAGGGTTGATGGTTCTGAGTATCGGGAGGGGAAAAGGGATCGTGATTTTGATCGGGATGGAGATGGGGAGAAGAAGGATGGGGCAGAGATAGGGATCTAGGATATGAATGAAATGGGCAGGGATGGGGAGCGCCATAAATCGGAGGTTGGGGTGTGAGGTCGCAGTGAAGAGGAGAGCCCCCCACCGAGAAGTCGGTTTCGGTTTCGTGTCGTGCGTGCGGGCTAGGCGAGGCTGCGTGGGCGGGCGAGGGGAATGACCCCCGTTTGCGATGCCCCGCTCATCGCCAGCATCGCCGCCACGCATCGCCAGTACGGCATGCATTGTCGCTAGCATCGCCGCCGTGCGTCGCCATCATGCATTGTCACCAGCATCGTCGTCGTGCGTTGTCTCCAACTCGTCGTCACCAGCGTCGTCACCATCACAGCCACAGCAATTGTTATCAGTTGCCTCCCTCCACAACCTCGTTATCACCCGAAGGCAGATCTTATAGGTAAGTGTCGAGTGAAGGAGGGATCGAGGTAGGGACGGCAATGGGATGCAACGGGAGGCCACGGGAGACAATGGGAGGCCACGGCAGGTAATGTCGTGCCCGCAGATTCCACATTTGGCGATCCATTCATTTTGGGGAGGCCACATGAGGCAGCGGGAGGTGACGGTAGGCACCTGGAGGCAACGGGAGGCCACGGGAGGCCACCGGAGACATTGCGAGGCCAAGGGAGGCAATGGGAGGCAACGTCGCCCCCAGATTCCCGATCTGACAATCCATTTATTAGGCCTCATTTTTTATGTATGTACGTATGTAAGTAGGTAGGCAGGTAGGGAGGCAGGTAGGAGGGTAGGTAGATAGGTATGTATGCATGCATGCATATATATTTAGTTATATAGTTATATAGTTATATAGTTATATAGTTATATAGTTATATATTTATATGTATGTATGTCTGTCTGTCTGTCTGTCTGTCTGTCTGTCTGTCTGTCTGTCTGTCTGTATGTATGTATGTATGTATGTATGTATGTATGTATGTATTATATATATATATATATATATATATATATATATATATATCCCTGGGAGGCAGGCCGGGGGCTCCAGGACAGGTGCCTCCACCCCCCATGGCGGGACGGGGGGAGCCTGGAGCCTCCCTGGAGCAGCCCAGGCGGCCCAAGAGTGCCCCAAGAGCGCTCCACGACAGGCCCAGCAGGCTCCAAGCGGCCCAAGAAGGCGCCAAGATGGCCCCAAGATGCCCAAGATAAGCCCAAGACGGCCAAAGAGGCCCCAAGACGCTCCAAGAGGCCTCCAAGAGGCCCCCCCAGAGGGCCCCAAGAGGCCAAAATCGTTGATTTTACGAAGGTTTTGGACACATTTTGCCTTTCCCGCCTTTTCAGCTTTCCGACGCTTCACGACGGCTCACAGGCCCCCCGCCGACGCCCCAAGACAGCCCAAGCGGCCTCCAAGAGGGCCTCAAGACGGCTCTGGAGGGCCCCAAGACGGCCCAAGACGCGCCCAAGACGGGCGAAGAGAGGCCCAAGACGGCACCAAGAGGGCTCCAAGAGGGGAACCGCGAACCGCAAATTCGAGCCTCCCGCCTCCACAGGGCCCCGGGAGGCCCCAGGAGACCCCGAAGATAAGCCCAAGACAGCCAAAGAGGCCGCCAAGACGCTCCAAGAGGCCTCCAAGAGGCCCCCCCAGAGGGCCCCAAGAGGCCCAAATCGTTGATTTTACTAAGGTTTTGGCCACATTTTGCCTTTCCCGCCTTTTCAGCTCTCCGACGCTTCACGACGGCTCACAGGCCCCCCGCGGACGCCCCAAGACAGCCCAAGAGGCCTCCAAGAGGGCCCCAAAACGGCTCTGGAGGGCCCCAAGATAGCCCCAGACGCGCCCAAGACCGGCGAAGAGAGGCCCAAGACGGCACCAAGAGGGCCCCAAGAGGGGAACCGCGAACCAGAAATTCGAGCCTCCCGCCTCCACAGGGCCCCGGGAGGCCCCAAAGGGGCCCCAAGAGGCCCCAGGAGACCCTGAAGATACGCCCAAGCAGCCAAAGAGGCCCCCAAGACGCTCCAAGAGGCCTCCAAGAGGCCCCCCCAGAGGGCCCCAAGAGGCCAAAATCGTTGATTTTACGAAGGTTTTGGACACATTTTGCCTTTCCCGCCTTTTCAGCTTTCCGACGCTTCACGACAGCTCACAGGCCCCCCGCGGACGCCCCAAGACAGCCCAAGAGGCCTCCAAGATGGCCTCAAGACGGCTCTGGAGGGCCCCAAGATGGCCCCAGACGCGCCCAAGACGGGCGAAGAGAGGCCCAAGACGGCACCAAGAGGGCCCCAAGAGGGGAACCGCGAACCGCAAATTCGAGCCTCCCGCCTCCACAGGGCCCCAGGAGGCCCCAAAGGGGCCCCAAGAGGCCCCAGGAGACCCCCAAGATAGCCCAGGAGGCCCAAAGGAGACTTCAAGAGGTTCCTAAACAGCTCCGAGGAACCTCACAACGGACGGCGCGGACGAGCCGCACTTCGGACAGCCGCCGCCGCCGGTCAAAGAAAACGGCCTCCTGGACGCCATGCGCGCCGTGGCCCTCCTGCGGTGGCACCTCCCGCCCTGGGCCAGCGCAGAGGCCCTCGGATCCCAGAGAGAATTCTCCGTCGTCGGCGGTGTCGCCGTCGTCGGCGTCGTCGTCGTCGACGCCGTCCGCGCCCCGGTCGCCCCTCGGGACTGCGCTCGCCCCTTCGACTTCTCGGCTCGCCTCCCGCCGATGTTCTTGTCGCCCTTCGACTTTCGGAGGCTCCTCCCGGGGTCCTGGGTCCAGTGCTCCGGCCTCTCCAGAGCGCTTCAAGTGGCCGAAATCGGTAACTTTACGAAGGTTTTTGGAGAGATTTAGCCTTTTTGGCTGTCCGACGTTCCAAGACGGCCCAATAGGCCCCCCAAAGCGCCCAAAGACAGCCCAAGAGGGCCCCCAGACGACCCCAGAGGCGCCCAAGACAGCCCAAGAGAGCCCCAAGACGGCCCCAAGATGCGCCCAAGAGGGGACCACGACTCCCAAATTCGACCCTCCCGCTTGAAGAGTGCCCCAGGAGGCCCCAAGGAGCCCCCAAGAGGCCCCAGGAGGCCCCCGAGAGGCACCCAGGAGGCCCAAACGAGGCTTCAAAAGGCCACAAAACAGCCCCGAGGAGGCCCCACAACGATCCCAAAACGGTT